TATCTATTTACTATTTAGACTATTGCATTATTGTGCAATAGTCTAAAAAGTATATTCCTTAATTAAAAACACTTTATTGCTAAAATATGCTTACCATTATGGTATTTCAACAGTAACATCAAAGATCACTGATCACAGATCACCTTAACATATATAATAATAATGAAAAGGTTTGCAATATTGTGAGACTTACCAAAATGTGACACAGAGTCACAAAGTAAGCAATGCTGTTGGAAAATTGGTGCCAATAGATTTCCTCATGCAGGGTTGCCACAGACCTTTGACTTGTAAAAAACACAATATCTGCAAAGCGCAAGAAAGTGAAGTGTAATAAAAGCTATGCCTGTAATGCACTTTGGTTTTTATCCTCCTTATGTACAAGCCTGGTTAAATAAACGAAGTTTGAATCTCCATAATAAGGGAAAGAAAGAGAAAATATGACTAGAAAAAAGGAATGTTGTTAATTTTGTTAATATGAACCAAAGACAGTTTTCCTGTTCTGATGCAGAAATTTAATGCAAAAGTATTTCAGCTTTTGCTAATCCATATATCGCAAGCAAGTAATTTGTCTGTGCATGTAAGTTTTGCAAATCAGTCATGCAATACACTGGAAAAATAGTGCAACAAAGACTCACAAAGTCAGTGGTTCTGTGTGTTAGAATATGTGTATTTTACATTTCCGTTGAAACTCTGAATACTCATTAGATAAAGTTTCCTCAGTAATGTTTACAGAAGTTAGGCGGATGCCAACACTGATGGCACCACTGTAGCCCTATCTGCAGCTACACTTCTTTACTATTGCTGACTTGCTTTTCCAGTGCAAATACTTAAAACCGGAGACCCCTTGAAGGCCATCCTAAGCAGGTTCACTGCAGTGAATGGGAGATATGCAAAAGAATATTGGCACTTTGCACAGCTTATGCTCATTTTAACAGAGCTTGAACAGAAGAACCTTTCCATTCATTGTGCTTTTTATCTTTTTTTATGGAGAAAGTTCTTGATAAAATATTATGTAACTAGCTTGTAAAGCTGGGTAGGGTGCATTTAAGAGTGGAACTGTGACACTAACATCAGCAATTGCATCATGTTTTTGTTTTTGAAATACGCAGCTGGAGCGCAGTTACAAGAGATTTACTGATTTTTATGCTAATCGCCATAGTGGAAGAAAATTGACCTGGTTGTATCAGCTATCCAAAGGGGAATTAGTTACCAACTGCTTCAAAAACAGATACACTTTACAGGTAAGGTGCACCTGGTGCTTGTAAAAAGGTAGCTGCAGCTCTCATTTATGCTGTGCATAAAAGCTTGGAAGCTTCTATTTCTTCCTCCTTCCCCATGTATGTATGAAGAACTTATGACTAAAGAAGGGCACTTTAATGCCTTTCTTTTGGACGTAGTGTTTGAACTTCTATATCGATGGGGATCCCTGAACAAGGGCCATAAAATTCACACACTCTTGCTATAGATCTTCCCAAGTCCTTGCTGTACAGGGTTTTATAATAACACATTTGAAGGATTAGCTTTGGGTCAAGATATGTGACAATTAGCTTGCTTGCTAAAAGAGGCTGAAAATGAAATCTAGGCAAGCTATTGTGTAAACTTGCTCATTTAAAAACTTAGGCTTTTAAAGTATTCTCTTGGGCATAAAGGGGCTTTTACAAAACAGCATATGATTTTTACTCAGAACTGAAACTTTTGGGAAAAATCAGTAATTAGGAAGGAGACCTCATTCAATGTGTTGTTTCATTTAAACAGCAAATGGGAAAAACAGCTTAGTCCAGGAGATCAGGCTTTTTTTTAATTGGTTTGTTTATGGAACAGGTAAATTTCTGCTTGAATTTCCTTCAAATAAAAATTTTATCTGCTTTTTCTTGAAGGCATCAACATTCCAGATGGCAATTCTATTGCAGTATAATACAGAAGATGCTTACACTGTTCAGCAGCTGACAGACAGTACTCAGATAAAAATGGTAAGTTTGTATCACATTAACAGTTGCTTTTGTTACCGAGGAGTTTTGATTATATTTTGGCTCTGGGCCACTCAAAACCTTACGGAAATCTTTGTGTTTCTTATATTCCTGAAATCTATCCTCCTGTTTTGGCAAGAGCTTGCATTAAGTGGAAAATTTAGTGTTTTGAAAATCTCAACTTCTCATTTATTTCAAAAGCTAAACAGGTTTTTATTTTTTATCACTGAAGATGGGCTTCAAAGGCAGTATAGTCAGGTGGACTTTCCCAACCTAAAGAAAATTCCTGCAGGAAATTCCACTAGTTAAGGTGGAACCTTGAGTGCCTTTGTATTTCCCATATCTAACAGAAGCATAGCAAAATGGCATATGCTGCACAACTCCCCCCCCCACCCCCACCGCTTTTGGGTAGGAGGGGAAGCTGAGTTTCATTTACCTTGGTACTGAATTTTTGCTTTTCTTAAATGCAGTATATATGTTGCCCTGTAGGTTACCAGTAGAGTAAAACTCAAATGTACAGATGCAGTGTGCTTGCATAAAATGTTCCATCTTTCTATCCTGTCAGTTGTAAAGAATATAAAGATAAGATTAATTATGTCATTTTTTTACTACAAATGGTATGAAGAATTACTTTTTTTCCTTTCTGACATAGGATATTTTGGCACAAGTTCTTCAGATTTTACTAAAGTCCAAGTTGCTGGTAGGTATTCTTGGTTGTGGGTGGGGGGTGGTGATGGATTATTTGTTGTTATTTTTTACATTGCTTCCATGTTTTCCTTCATAGGTTTTGGAAGATGAAAATGCAAATGTTGATGAAGTGGAGTTGAAACCTGACACCTTAATAAAACTGTTTCTTGGTTACAAAAAGTAAGGAAGATCAACTAGTATTAACTACATGCACAAAACTGGAGCAGATTTCCAGAGCTCCTGTTTTTTTGAGACTGTGGGTAGTCATTAGAAAAAGTAATGTAATGATTGTAATAAGTTTGTCTTGGAGGCTTCCAGTCAGATCCCATCTAGCCACAGACACACAGCTCTGTTATTAGCATGACAAATGAATGAGCACTTATTAGAATTGATTGTGGACCAAATACATTTTGGCCATTGCTTGGTGCAATAGCAAATTGCTACAATATTGTAAACAAGGTTTAAGTTGTATAAAATATGTTTCTAATGGAAGCATTTTTGAATATTGAATGTTGTTTTGCATCTAAATAGTTTTGCCAGAGTCAAAGAACGGAAGGAGATGAAGCCTGACGGTCAGAGGGACCGCTAAATGACTGCTGCCCCAGTGCTTCCTGAGCTGTCAAGATAGTATCTCTCCAAATCTCCATTAGGATCCTACACAAAATGGGGTTCTCATTTGCTTAGGAGCTGGGCATATTCTGCTGTTAAAAAGTACTAACCTTGAAATAACTGGAAATGCCTCAGCCCAGAGCTCAGTATGTATGTCAGGTTTGCTGCATGCACTGGCAGGGGATTGCATGTTGTCAGATGTTCTTTTGGTTACAGCCATGAGAAGGCCATGTTGCAGTTCCTATGTTGTGGCAATAGTTGAATGGATCCACAAGGAAAGGCTGCTTACCAGCTTTGTGAAAAAAAGCAAGATATGCAAAGTCCTGAAGACCTGATATCTAAAAGCAAACTTGTTGAAAAGCAATTTTAATTTCTGTGTGAGCTTCAATAGGAAAGGAATAATCAACTTTGCCAAATGAAAAACCTCTGTAATAAGAAGAAATATTGCATAACTCAATTTTCCATTTGTATGGGGCGGAGAGGAGGCCAACTCTAGTTACAATAGTTTTGAAAATTAGTTTTGCTTTCATAGAGTTTGGGAAGATAAACCTGCTTATGATGAGGGTAAGAGAGGGCAGCTGTCTTCTAAGGTGCTTCTAGGATAGCCTTTTAAGAGAAGTAGGATCAAATTAAGCAAGTTGTCTTGAGGGCTGGGCTGACTAGTCTGCATACCCTGAAGTGTCAAGAAGTACTTTAAATAGCCTGTGTAGGGTGCAGTTTGGGAGGGACATCCTGCAGCTCATGTCTAATGTCATAAACCACATGAAAGTTAAAAATAGAGCCTCTGTCAAGAATGATCTTCCCCTTCCCTGGCAACCTGCTGGATGAGGAAATGAAAGAGAAACCAAAGGGAATGTCAGAGGAAGGGGACAAAAGCAGAGGCCTGCCCATGTTTGGCATTAGTCGCATGCTTGACAGAGTAGCCTTAAGGGAATGCACCACAGCGTATGGGTGGAGAAAGATCCCCCCCCATCCCTGGTTCAGATCAGCAATTTTCTTCTTTATGCCAGAAAAGTAGTAGGTGGGCTAAGATTCATACAGAATTTATGTGAAAGTAAAACTCTGTACAACTTCCTTTAGTTTTTATTTGTGCCTAGAGCAGGGCTAATTATTTGCTTGCTTATTTTTTTCTTGGCAGCAAAAAACTGCGGGTGAATATAAATGTGCCAATGAAGACTGAACAAAAGCAGGAACAAGAAACAACACACAAGAACATAGAGGAAGACAGAAAACTACTGATCCAGGTGACTGAGGAGCTCATACCATGCTCAAAAGTTCTTAACTTTGCTGATCTTTTTTTTAAAGAGCTATCTCCTGCAGCAGGCAGAATTATGGAGTTTTCTTTTGACGGAGAGTCTTAGATTTCGAAGTCAGGGTTGATCTCCTCTAGGACTGACCGGTTTGATCGCCTTGCAGTCCAAGGGACTCGCAGGAATCTTTTCCAGCACCACAATTTGAAGGCCTCAATTCTTCGGCACTCAGCCTTCCTTATGGTCCAGCTTTCATAGCCATACATTGCAACTGGGAAAACCATAGCCTTGCCTATACGCACTATACTTATACTTGTTTATACGAGTGATGTCTCTGCTTTTTAGAATTTCTATACATTGGTTATTAGTGGTTAGTATGTCTTCTGTTACTGAAGTTGAACAGGAACGTGGCAAAGCACCATGGGTTAAAAGGTGCTTTGCTAATTGACAAAGGACTCTTAATTGGAGGAGTTCCATGACAGGTAAAGCTGCTTTGTCCACAGGGCTGTAACTGTGGGCAGACATTGGCGCCAAAAGTGGGTATGATTATTTTTTAAAATAAAAGCTTATAATGAACTTGCCATGCAAAACATTGGTTCATATAACTCAGCATGGTGTATTCAGACTGCTTTTGTATGCCTCTTGACTGTCCTAGCACTGCTGCCTGAGACTCTTTTCAACTGGACATTACAGGAATTGAAAGTGAGGCCATCTCTGTGCAAAGTGTGCGTGCTACCTACTGAATTTTCCCTTAGTAGAAAGGCAGGGTTGCTTACCTGTAACCGTAGGTCTTTGTGTGGTGCATTCAAACAGTGGCCTGTGTGCCTGCACAGTCTCTTGATCAGGGATCTAGTGTAGTTGGAGTATTTTGGCAGTAACACTCCCCCATTGTCCCAGAGCACATTTGTCCAGCAAGTTCCTACTTGTTCCCTCAGGTCCTTGAACACAGCCTTGGAACTGACGGAAATTCAGGTGGGGACAGAGGGTGGGTTGTTTGAACATACAAACAAAAACTTGAAGGACTAGTTAGAGGTAAGAAACTTGTATTTTTGTTTTGCAGTCTGTGTGTATCACACACATGGGTAAGTAGCAAGTTGGCTTATTAGAGGTGGGTTGATGTGTTATTGCAAAAAAGCATGCCCAAAGGAAGAAACAGCTCCAGGACAGATAACCTGCCTGTAGTAACTGACAAAGGTTGACTGCCTCAACCAGGTACCTGCTCACCAGTTCTAGAAGTGAAACACCTTGACTAAATTTCACCAACATAGTCATTGCCTAGGTCAGTGGTCCCCAACCCGAGGCCCTCAAGTTCTTTCTGTGAGGCCCTCCAACCTGGCTTGTTTCCTGCTATCACCCTCAAGACATTTTCCCTCAGACCCACACTGTTCTTTCTGCCTCAAGCAGCACCATCTACTGCTGCTTTTCTTTCCCTTTCTTACAAAAAACACAATAGCAACATTGTTTCTTCTGGTCACAGTTGTTGCTTCTGTCAGGCCTGGCTTGGTCTTACCCACCATACTAGCATTTTGGCCATTCTGGGTGCCTTGCTAGCCAGTAGAGCTCAGGTACCTGCACTTTTCAGCCTTTTCATTCCCCCTCTCCATGCATTACCATGTTGAAGGCTATATATATGTTTAAGGGAGATAAAGCAGCTGTGTGGACAGGTACAGGAGATGATTTTGCTGTAAAAAGATGGGAAAAGGAGAGTAAAAGGCCTGGGAATTTTGCAAAAATGATACAAAGTATCCTTTTGCATACTGAACATTTCTAGAGTTTTCACCCATCAAGTGGCTTCCAAGGTTACTGGGGAGGTTGATGCTTCAGGCAAAAGCAGTCTTCCTTCCTCAAGAAGAGCTGGTTGCTCTGAGTTTTTGCCATGCTTGCTTTGCCTCTCCTCCCACACCCAGTCCAGCTAGGAGTCTTCTCTTGCATCTGTGACTGGGATGAGAGGGAAGGAGTACTCCCTTATGAGATTCCCCTTCCCACATCTTCCTCTAGTCAAATTCCCTTCCCCTGGCTGCCATTTTGCTTCTCATGACTGAGGCTTGTCTGGCAGGCAATGATGCACCCATATAAATTGAAGCCAACTTAATGGCATTTCCTCTGATTCAGCTGGTAGGCTGTCCTTTCATTCACTCTTTCTCTCTACCTGCCCTTTTTTGGAGGGCCCCCAATTTTTGAAGTATTAGCATGGGTAGATTTAAACCTCAGAGCAGTGTGTTTATTAAGAAATAAATCTCATAGTATTCATAGTATGTAGGATTGCAACTCTGCCATCTGGTTGTCAAATTCAAAATCCATTAAAAAAACCACCTTTCTAGTCTGTGTATATGTATTCCTGAGAACTGTAGAGGCAGGGGTCTCGTCTCTTCTTTGCCATGGTCAAAATGAAAATCCCCAGCTGACAGCAACCAGAGTGTGGTGGATTTGATGGGAAAGGGCAGAGTTAGATCCCTAAAACTATACTACTCATATTTTTATTTATTCAAGGATAATACTGAAACTCTGCAACTGCTGCTCTGCTAAAAGTTCTGTAAAGATGTCTACAAAAGAAAGTGCTGTTTCAAAGAAATGAAAAATTGTACATGAGCACCGTGCACTTCGGTGTTTAGTCATGCCGGCCACATGACCACAGAAACTGTCTGCAGACAGACGCTGGCTCCCTCAGCTAGGAAACTGAGATGAGCACCGCCCCCTAGAGTCAGACATGACTGGACTTCACGTCAAGGGGAAACCTTTACCTTTACCAATTCTTTAATGACAAATGGACTACTGAGTACTCCTTTGTATTAAACAAGGATAAAGTAGTTTGCCTGATACGTCGTGAAACTGTCTTGGTATTAAAGGAGTACAAAGTTAAAAGGCACTTTGAATCCTATCACAAGAGCTATTCAGTATATCAAGGGGAGGTGCAAGTGAACAAGATAAATTTTCTTAAAGTCAGTGTTTTTGCAGCAAAATTGTGTTAGAAAGCACACTGAAGAGAACCTGCCATCTGTGAGGGCCAGCTATCATGTTGCTAAATATATTGCTGAGAGTTGTAGGCCATTCACTGATGGAGAATTTGTTAAGAAGTGCATGGTTAAAGTAATGGATAATATGTATTCTGATAAGGTACCCTGTGTTAGTTGTTTTGTTTTTTCTGCATCTACAATCACTGGGCATGTTGAAGAGCTAGCACTGATGGTAAAGGCAAAAAGTTTTGATTTTTATTCTTTGGCAATAATATTAGATGAGAGCAATAATATTATAGACACCGCTCAACTACTAATATTTATTGAGGGATAGATTCCAACTTCAGTAATACAGAAGAATTGTATGCACTGCGCAGTTTGAAAGGCACTGCAACTGCAAAAATCATATTCTTGAAGGTGTGTGAATCAGTGGAAAATCTTGGTCTGAGTTGGAATATATGGAAAGGCATCACGATTGATGATGGTGGGAAGTAAAACTGCTATAGTTACAAGAATCAGTGAAGAGATGTTGAAATTAAACACTACACTCCCCATGCAATTTCACTGTATCATCCATCAGCAAGCCTTGTATAGTAAGATTCTTCAGTGGGAAAGTGATGTGTATTGTTTTATCCAGCATTAATTACATCAGGCATCTTGGTCTTTACCCATCATCACTTTCAAAATTTTCTCTCAGATTCAGAATATGCAGAATATGGAAATGTATTTTACCATGCAGAAGTCAGGTAAAATTGCTTAGCACAGGCAAAGTCCTCAAATATTTTTTAGTCTTCATCATTTATTTATTTATTTATTTATTTATTAAAACATTTTTATGCCTCGGGGCGGCTTACAACAATAAATTAAAACCACTTAAATTAAAATATACACATTAAAATAACAATGATAATTTAAAAATAATATAGATATGTATATATACACACACAATAAGCCGCCCTGGCCAGATAAAATTCAATAGTATTAACATTTAAAATGCTGCTTAAGTAAAAAGTTGATGTCTTCCTCAAGGAGAAAGGAAAAGGTCAAGAAGTACTTTCTGATGGATTTTTGATTTGGTGTTCTTAACTGATATCACAGAGCATTTGAACAAATTGAATCTAAGGTTAGTGAAAAGGAAAGCTTATGTGTGACGTGTTCTGAACTGAAAGCTTTTGAAGTAAAACATCTTGGTGAAGCAAGTAAGTGAAAGTAACTTTTCAAACTTACCGTGCTGCAATGAACTAAAATTTGAGAAGAATGAGAATTTAGAATTTAATGTTGAAAGAGGAGTCAAAAGAGTTGAAAGAGGATATCCAACTGAATACAGAATTCCAGAACAGATTCACTAATTGCCATAAGCATGGAAAAGAAATAAGAATATTTCAGAATCCATTTGAAAGTAGCATCAGAAGATGCAAGTAACTTTTAAAAGATGGAACTAATTGAATTGCAAACAAGTGATCATCTCAGAGACATTTGCAAAGAAAATAGTCTATTAGATTTTTATTGTGGTCTGCCTGAAATATTGAACAACTTAAAAGAAATTTGCTGCAGGCATGCTTACGATCTTTGCCACCTCATACTTCTGTGAACAAACTTTTTCCAAGATGAAAATTGTGAAATCCAAGTGTATGTCAAGGGTTACAGATGAACATTTACATGACATTTTAAGGTCTGTCACAAACCTTGACTTGGACATTCAATGCCTTGGCTAACAGAAAACAGCCACAAAATCACACTAACTAGGTAAGCTTATGTAGCTAGATAAAAGGATTCCATAGCAAAATATTGTTGCAAAATGGATTGCATTTCTTCATTGACCTCTGAATGTTTACTTTTGATTTAAATTGGTAGGTTGATTTTGTTACATCTTCATTTAAGATGTGGCCCTCTTTAGTCATTGGACATTCTGTATGCAGCCCCCATGTCCCAGAAGGTTGAAGACTACTGGCCTAGGTGGAGTGAGCCAAAACATGGTCCAAGACTGCAAGGCGTGATCACTAACTCATGAGCCAGCTTGATGCTAAGCAGTACCTAGGAGGGACATCTTTAAGATGGCACCAGCAATATCTGACATCCCTGGGGGGTTGATAAATGGGATCAACCTGCAGACTTCATTGGATCTACCTGCTGAAGTGATCACTGCAAACTCATCTTCCAGGAGAACTAGTGAAGGTCCACTTTTGTCAGCAAGTTGGATGGTTTGGAGTCAGAAACAACAAAACAGCTGATAGACTCCATGCCCATCCTGGGCACTGTATCAGTGGAGTGAGTTTTCCTAGATGACTACATAAAGATAAACCTCTCTTGTGCAGAGACAAGACATGGTGCAGTGGGCACCAAAATGTATCAAAACCACGAATTTTTGCAAAGATAAGTGTTACACACTTGGTGAAGAATCTTGGTACCATAGCAAAACCAAATGGCAACATCCCAAACCAGAACACCATGGTGCCAGTTGCAGACTGAAGGAGATGCCAATTACTCGTGTTGATGGAGATGTAAAAATAAATCTAAAATAGATAAAATAAAAATAGATGTAAAAATAGACTCAAACCAATCCTCATCGTGGAGCAGAGGAATAGAAGCAATTTTAGCCATCCAAAAATGCTTGTGAGGATGTAAAGATTTATTTCTCTGAAGTCCAGAATCAGTCATAAACCTCCATTCAGCTTTGGTGAAATAGTGGGAACAGAGCCTGTCAGGAAATTGTACCTAGAGACCTCTCCATTGGTTCTTTCACCAGAGTAGTATCCATTTCTGTTAACACCACCTCTGAAGAAAAAGTGAATTTGAAAGGGTTTTTGAGGAGGAGCCTGTCAAACTCTGTTTTGCATCTCTTCTAGATAATAAAGGAGACCCATAAATTAAATGCTTCCATGCCTGGAAATAGAGCAAAAGATGAGTGCCAGAGATAGAGTGACAAGCACTGGGACAAAGGAGAAGGTGGGCCAGTCAAAGGTGGTGCTTGCCAGTGGTGTCTTATTTTCTACAGGTGTTTGGAGATTTTGTTGACTGGACCTGATGTCTCAGAGGTTGTGCTGGAGCCTAGCAATATGTTTGGCTAGCAGGTGCATAGCAGTTGTTTATAAAACAGTTGTCTAAATTGCTTCATCCAAGGGCATTCTTGGATGGCGGTTGGACGATATGCTTCCATCTTGCTCTATTTTTGGCCTTCTGTGCCACCACCTTCTCAGTCTTCACACGGAATGGTACTCTTCAGTCGTGGAGTGCATGTCTTAATATAGTCCTGGGGATTTAAGCCATGCATATCATCAGAAAGCTGTTGAGCCAGCTGTGGCTTTGGGATTATGGTGAGTCATGTTCCTCGATGTACGTCTCTGTGAGAGAGGGGCATCACCTTGCTTTCAGAGACTTAAGTTAAGCCTCATTTATCCTCTTGTACCCATGACTTCTCTCATAAGAAAAGCTTGTGCACGGACATTGCATCCTGATAGTTTGCTGCAATCAGCAGTAGTACTACAGAGGCAATATGGGCCAGGTGCCATTAAATCCAAGCTTCTATTTTCTTTATCCAGGGATGAGGAATGGATCTTATGGGATCGATAAGATCTTGAAAATCATGGAATTTGGTTTTTGGCTGGACCAAAAACCCTGTACCTTTCTCCAGAGCCTTGCACATTTGCTCAAGTGCTTTATTGTTGGCAACATGGAAGACAGCCTTAAAAGTCTATTGGATGGTTTGACTCTAAGAGGGCGTGCCACCAGTGTGGAGAACTCAAACTACATCAAATATCAGGTCTTTTATTGTAATCACTGATCGTTGCTTCTCCAATCCAAGAGATGACACCATACAGAGTAATTGTTTTGAGAAGGGCTTTGTACCTGCAGGAGGAGATGGCAAGGTGTCTTTGTTCCCCATAGCAGTGTCTGTTGATGAAGTGTTAAAAGGTCAGCATTGAAAATGTAGAATCTGACATAATCTTCTGGTACTGACTGTGGAGAAACTTTTCCTCTTAATGGGAATGCTATGATTCAGTATGTTTTGTGAGAATATTTCCAGATTTGATGGTTGAAATAAGGTGGTGTGAGTAGCAACAGGACATAATGTATTAGGTGGCATGGTGAGAGAAACCCCAGGACGTCAACTGATGTGCAATTTTGTTAGTGGTACTATAGGAGCAGCTGTAAAGATTGCACCCAGTTCTGATGGTAATGTGAGGTGGTTTACATCAGCTAAGATGTCTTGGTGATACAGTTGGTTCCATTAAAAAGAGCCCTCAATGTGGAAGAAGTCTTGATAACATAAGAAGCATATCAACATTGGTCAGGGGAGTAATTCTCTGTGTAGAACTTCTGCAGGTTGTATGCATTGGTGCCAACATCCATATTGTGCCATCAGTAGAGTACTTCAAAATCATACACTCATGGGATGAAGAGTATCTCTCAATAAGGAATATGGTGAATGCAGCTAATACCCAGGTGGTTCACTCTGGTCAAAATACCATCCTCCCTCCTGACAGTAGTAAAAGCCAAATAAGCAGATCCCTGTTAGGATTGAGGGATAATGGTTGCGGCAGATGGACTTCATCTGTGGCAGATGGACTTCATCTCCTGTTCTATGGAAATGTACTGAAGACACCTACTTCCAAAGAAGAGGCTACCATCTGAGGGTTCTACAGCATCCAGGGAACCAGAAGCATTTTTGATCTTGCTTCAAGGTGCACTGCTACCATAGTTAACAGCAGAGTCACTGGCAGTGTTGATACCAATGGAGGCAAAGTTGGGGCTGCAAGAGACTGAATAGGAGATTCCTTTTCTCCTTCAGTTCCACAGGTATTTTATGTGTTTTGGCCATTATAGTGAGCTTTTTATCCAACACCACATTAGTGACTTTCCTGATGATTGGTATAAGGAGCTTTGGAATGGTTGGTGGTAAAGAAAACTTCTATCCTGGAGCCACCCAATTGTCTGTATTAGAGTGGGACACAGTCTCTGATGCCCAAAGTGGAGGAAGTCCTTGAGAGGATTTTTGGATGAGTCCTACCCTTTGCAGATTTCGCAGCCCTCGGAAGCTTGTCCCACATAACAGTTTGAAGCATGATAAACTAGTTAAATCTTGCCTGATTTGTAAAGGCTTGGCAAAATGAGCAGGAGTTGAAGGTAGCAGAATAATTCACCTGGGAGTTGCCCATTAGTTGTGGGGACTTTGCTGTCACAATGAGCATATTACAAAGACAATAGAAAGGAATCACCAGAGAGAAAGATAGTTTAAAGAAAATCCTCAGTGAATTCTACTTTTCTTGAATAAGCAAGAGGGTAAGATTTTCTGCAAGACTGCAAACCAGTAGTAGTTGCAACAGAACTGAGGGAATTGGTGGTTAATTGGTGGAGAAGGGTTCCTGCTAAAACACTCAGAGAAGGTTCCTGGTAGAAGTTCCACACAGGTGTAGATCCCATGCATGTGATGTTCACAGCAGATTGTATACTAGAAGTTAGAGACAAGGCTTTGCTGGTCCAGAGTCACTAGTTTTTCCTGAATTAATCTCTGAAATGATGCTCTGTAGAATAAGCTTGGTTTATACTTGAAACAGCTTGAGTGGGTGCTTTTTCAAACTCTTGCAGTTTGGAGGAATTTTTTATTGCAAACATAAGTCAAATGTATATTTTTCACTATGAGTATAATGTTTTCAAATTTAAGATTGTATTTCAAGTGAACCATATTAAAATGAACTGATACAGTAAGATTGCATACAGTCATGTTATTTGTTGTTGTTGCTGGAAGTTTATATGAGGCAAGTCTATTTTACTGTAGTATATGCAAAATCCATTTCAGAATACCTTGGTATGCCTTAAGTGATTGGCCAGAAGTTTTTGGTGAACTTTGGCTTCTCTTAGGATACACTCACTATTTCTAAACGTGTATTTTTTTAATTTTAGGCTGCTATTGTAAGGATTATGAAGATGAGAAAAGTTCTTAAACATCAGCAATTGCTTGGAGAGGTACTCACACAACTGTCATCAAGATTCAAGCCACGAGTCCCAGTAATAAAGGTTTGTCTAAAGAGCAATTTAGTAGTGATAGGCAAGAAGCCTTTACTTTCAAGCATTGCAAATATTAGAAGTATACATTTGTGAGGTTACTCAGAAGTGAAGTATAACTTTTTAAATACAGAAAGAGTATGAGATCACATAAATTGAATTAAGCTATACCTTCAGATAAACAATTTAAACCAATTTCACTGTAGATTTTGGCACATAATGTACAGCTGCATTCTAAAAGTGTTGTTTAACTGTTTTAGACATCTGCACCAGTTGCTCATGTGTTTTGTCCATCCTCTGTGATGCAGTTTTTCATTTGAAGTACCCCTTTAGTGGTTAGTGTGTGCGAGTAGTACATTGATTAGGCAAAGTACCTAAGCACAAGTTCCAGCTCTGGTCACTTGCTTTACATTTAATTTAATCCAGTTTTTGTGATGGTACAGAATTAAACAGTTGCCATTTCCTCTACCTTGTTCTATCATATCCTACATAAGCTTGGTGTATGCTTCATATTAGTTCTGCAGGTTTATGGGTTAGATCCACATTTATGCTGGATCAGCTACACTGATAGAAGTCAACTTCCATGTTTGACAGCTGCTTTAGCCCACTGAAAATAACTACATATAACATGAGACCCTGCTGAACGGGTGTTGAAACAAAAGGAGAACCCCAGGCAGGAAGACCTAATGTGATTTCTCTCCCAAAAAGCAGATCAATTTATCAACACGGCTTAACATTTGTAGGACTCTAAAGAAATAAGAAATGAAGTGGGAACACCTATGAACACAAAAAAGATTGCATGTTTTTTCCATTTTCAGAAATGCATTGACATTCTAATAGAGAAGGAGTACTTGGAGCGTGTGGATGGTGAGAAGGACACCTACAGTTATTTGGCTTAACACTTTTTAGAAGTCAGTATGGCAAACAATTACACAACTGAAAGAAAGAAAAAGAACTTGTTGGCCTGCTGCCATCTGGACCTCCATTTTTATAACTGAGACCAGGACTTCCATCCCCCAATCTTGGAATTACAGTCTTGGAATTGCTCAGGATTGACACATTTCAAATATGTAAATATGGACACCAATGCCATTTAACCTAATTTAAGAACAGAACGGAATCTGAAACCTCCTTTACTGGAGGTTGCATGCTACTGCATTTAAATCAATACATTGGCTATACAACAAAAAGCTGTTGCTACAGGCAGCACTTATACATGTTGGCAGCACTTTGGTTTGGGCCCATGGTGTAATCTGCTATGAAAAATCATTTGTATAGTGTGTTTCATTTTTTAATGTGTGAAATAAAAAATAAAAAATTTCTGTACAAGTTGCATTTGGTTTTATTGTTAAGTTCCATGAGTTATCTTTCTTAAATGTAAATAAAAGGTATAATGATTATGAAAGCCAGATGAACTGGGTACTGTTTTGCTTTCAATACTGTTTCTACTAACTTCAAGCAAAACACATAGCTGAGCTTTAAAGTATAATCTTATCTTTTGGCATTTTACAAAAACCAATTTATTAAACAAAGGTATGAGTATTGTGCATGTTAAGGCTCCTACAGGTAGTGACTGGCATTCATTTTATCAGATTCCTGGTTTGTTACATGTGAACCAAAAGTTCTTGTATTTTTTAAACCCTCTAGTCAATTGCTAAACAAGCCAAGAATAAACCAGGAATCTGCCAAAGCAAGCAGGAATTCTATCTTCTGCCACATGATAGGGAAAAGGAAGAAGTGGTCCACATGGCTTTGTCTGTCTTTTTGCTCATGCAGAAAAATACGGTTTCACATTACAAATACTGCCTGAAGGTTTATTCTCAATTGGGCCACTGTATTGTTTTCATGAACATCTGGTAAGGTGCCCTTTTTTACCCTGTCATCTTTGTGATCAAGACTAGAACCTGTGTAGATACTTTAAAGCACTTACTACTTGTTTTTTGCACCTTCAATCCCCCTTTCCTTCATTTCTTTGGAGTAACTCCCAAGTTGTTATTTGAGATATTTAATGGCTAGCTCAAGTTAACCTTGTGTATGAAACTGAACCTAGATCAACAACTGACTAGCTTGTTTTAAAGTTCCATTTTCAGATTAAAAGCATTTATTTTCTTTTAGGAAGTGCTAAAGTTAGCATTCGCTTCAAAATAGAGTTGCAGGCTAAAACATCTAGTTTGGCAGTTAGAGGTTTTATTTATCATTGTGCATAGTGCTTTTTTTACCTTAAAGTCCATGTAAGCTTGCACCCATCCCTTGTTTAAAGAAGTAGACCATTTCAATTCAAAGTTCAAGTATCCTTTATTCAAGGTTCAAAAATGTACCACACTGCATTATTGCAAAAGTTCAATGGTACAAAACATGTTGCAGCTGGTGAGAAGGCAATAAAAAGTTGATTTTTAGGATTTGTCATTATAAATTACAGGTACAGTACTTTGTAAATTCTGCATTCCAAATTGCATCAATTCAATCTTTTAAAAAAATTGCCCACAGTACTAGAAACTCCTGAAGATAAGGCAGCTGTTTTATTGGAGAGGTAGCTGGTATCAAGGGATTTCCATTTCTCTTTCAATGCCTACATACTTGAGGGCATCAGCTTGACTGTATCTAAAATAAAACACATCATTTGTATCTGATTTATTTTGACTTTGTAGCGGTCCCTTTTATTCAAAAGGCAGACTAGAAAATATTAACACCTACACCCACTTAAGAATAAATGAGAAATCCAGGGAAATCTACACACTTCCTGCATTTCAGAAATACTTGGCTTGAATCCAGTTAATAGGATTAGCAAGTACTATTATGACCTAAGTACTGAAACACTTGTCAAAATCAATTTCTCATTTACAATGTTCAGTACTGAATATGCTGTACCTACCTATAATCAAAAAACAGCTCTTCACCAGTCTGAATGGCTCTCTTAGCAAATATGCCTATTCTGTGATCTCCATTAACCATCATTACTGTAAAACAAAAATTGAAGTTAACACAAAATTTAAGAAATGCCTTCACCATTGTATCAAAGAATTACTTCAACAGCTTGCTTAGTTAGCTGTATTCTTGTGAGATTTTGGAAGTATTCACCTTTTGCATAGCAGTTGGGATTGACTGAATGGTTTGCAAATCTTATTTTGTTCCCCTTCCGCGTTGCATCCACCACAAAATCTAAATTTAAAAAAAGTGGTTAGACTATTCAGAGCAGACTGAAAAATATGAACGTAACATTCATTGAAGTGCTCTGCCTAGCAGGTGCTACAGCTGATATACTTAAATCACTGGCTGGCTATGGATGATATGGCTAGAAAGTCCTGCCTTTTTAGCATTTCTAGAAGAAACAGTGAAGGCTTATCTTATAAAATGTTTTCCTTCTAATGTGGCTATTCTTCAGTCACCAGTTAACACTTCTGCTGCTTAGGAATGGTTATCATTGCTGTTTCATCATACCACCTAAAGAGGTATTGTGTCATTAAAGCCTAAATAGTTCTTGTACACTGACTTCAAGCATAGGTTGAAGATGTGAAAATACTTGGCTTGAAACAGCATTAGAACCATGCTTCATATCCTGAGATAAGTGAAGTAGTGAATGGGTTGAAACATACCATTGTTTAAATTGAACAGAAAGCTGCACATGTATTTGTCATATACTTTCCCCCTTCTGTCTGCTTCATCCTGAGAAATAATCTGAAAGTAAAATGTAAGAAATGGCTTTGATAACCACTGGACACAAGCAGATGTAACATGTTCCATCCCCTCCAATCTAAACCAGCTGTTCTATTTGCAAAACAGCTGATTAACAGCTAAGTGGGAAAACTGCCCATTGATTTTGCTGAAGCCTTTTTATGGAAGACACTCTTACCTCACCACAATATTCTGAGATGAATTCATTTTTCTGCACCGGATCCTTAATGAAAATCCCCCAGCCTGCCACATCAGAAGGTGCTAGCAGCAAATGCTAGTAGAATGATAGGGAAAAGTGTCTTAAGCCAGTAACACTGAAAATGCTTAAGCCTAACCAAATATATCCTATGAAAATGTACAGCAGCTGCAGTAAAGTAGCAGCTGTTTTACACACGTTACCATACTCATTAGCAGTGTAACACTGAAGTTCAGACTCACAGAAGATCCAAGTGGCATGCTTAGAAAGTGCAGTTTTAAATCCTTCAAATTGCGAGGAGTTGGCACTTCAGGCATACATTTTTCAATTAGTTTCTTTAAATGTTTGCACCAGCTTTTGATACCTTTACAGCTTTAAAAATCCATGACATCTGAATATATTTCTCTCTCCAAAAAGGAAAAATACTCAAAATTTGCCAGAAAGGTTTAAAGCAAGTAACGTTTTTGATGACACTCATGATGCTCCCAAAAAGGGGATGCATTTATAGATCTACCCTTTCTGGAGTACTTGAAAGGCTCTGCAGAATGTGGAAAAGCTGAAACTGATAACAGGGCAATACTTTAAACTAGAGGATCTAACCCAAAAGGGGAAGTTAGGCACACCGTCCCCCCTTAAAAAAAAACCCCTGCCACATTGCTTTTCAATTCCCAGTTGTCAAGTGTGGACAAGGCAACCTATGTGTAGCCTTGCTTGGTTAATGTCCATGGATGCTGTCAAGTGTAGGAAGCATTTACCAGATTAACCAGGCAAGGCCCCACATTTCAAGTAGCTGTAAGAATGTACCCATAAAGGACTTTAAAACCTGCAAACAAAATTCCATGTATTTGCTGGACAACTTAAAAATAAGAGCCTGCGATAATTGCTCCATAGTGCCCATTTGAACCAAGAGGGCTAGGTTTTGTTATTACTCTTGATGAACAATTCACCTGCTACTTCCCACAACCCACAAGGAGACTGGCCTCCTGGCTTCAAAGAGCACACCAACCCATCATGGATTGAACAAACTATAGAAGAAACCATATGTTGTTGAGGTGACCTGTTGCCCCCAACCACTGCGGAACACAGTTCAGATACCACAGCAGTCCACTGTAGCTAGTCACCTAAAATGACTAGCTTGTTATGTGGTCCAATCACTGTAGTGGAAGAATTATACAAGCTTCACACATTTTGCTACTGCTATCATAGGACAGATGAAGAGTAAACGGCCAGCCGACTAAGCAGAAACCATCTTTCTGCTTTTGTGCAGTTAAAAGTTCTTGGGCATCCCTGTTCTATTTTTTGGTGTGTGTGAGTGTTAACCAGTAAAGTTATAGATTAAAAAGATGAACCTTTTTGGATCCTCGCTGAATGCTGCAATTCTTGCAAGACACATTTTTGCTGTCCCAGTGATCTGCTGCTCCACATGTCAGGCAGAGATCTGGATCACACTCACGTACAGCCAAGTAGCAAGGGCACTGTTTAGTGTTGCATTGTGCTTTACAGCGGCAACCAGGAAATCTGTTTTGGCCTTTAGACGAGAAAAGGTAGAAAGCTGAACTAACTTGATTTTACATGAAACAGGATTGCACAGTTATCTCTTGATCCTTAGGGCCAAATTATTTGTGGGTATTTGTGCTCAGTACTTCAGGAATGTGAGTCACCAAATTGAAATTATGCATAGGTATCTAAAGCACATGCTTGGACAATTACAAATGTCAGTCAATCCCACAACCAATAAGCTTAGTGCACCAAAATAACTTAAACATCAATGAAAGAACTGGCCAAGGAGTTTTATTTACTTGATGATGAAAAGATTTGGTTAGCCATTCCATGGCTGCTTAGGGTTCATGACAAAGAGGGAGAGCAGCTGGATCTCTTTTTGCTCCCATCACAGTCCCAATGAGAAACACCCCTATTGTGGGCCTACTATTCACAATAGGAGGAGAGTTCCAACTGGTACCAATGAGTTTTCTTGTGAGTACATGGGACAGTGATTCCTTTGTATCACAAATGTAAAAGCTCAATGCCCCTTTCCATACAAGAACAAACAATATTTCATGAACACTTGCACTGCTCCTAAACCCACCACCTAACCCAAGCATTTTGATTGCTCTGGACCAATTAAAAATACCAGTTTCAAAAATCACTTACATTCTGAGCTGCACTGACAGAACTTCTCACAGAAGTTCTGAGCAATGACACAGGGGCACGAGTTGTCACAAGGCTGACGTGGGTGATCACATGGCTGGTAGTTGTAAACATGATTGGATGACCCATCTGAACAACAAATAACGCTATGTTTAGAAAGAAGAAATTTGATATAGGAAAATAAAAGTACAACTTACTTCCCCTTGACCGCCCCCCCCCCACAAGCCCTTATATATCTTTTCAGTGTTAAACCAGGCAGTGGATGGAAGAAAAAACTAATACAATCAGTCTTAATTGTCAAGTTTCCCTAACTGGGCACAACCCAGCAACTGTTCAGGACTTTAAAGGTGCAATTCTATGCACATTTAGAAAAAAACATGCTATGAATTTCAGCATTCCCTAGCCTCCAAAGCTAACTGGAGATTGCTGGAAGTTATGGAACTTTTTCTGTCTAGCTATGAATAGGATTGTGCCCAAGGGTCTCTGAGAGAGCATTCCAGGGGCCGTAGGATTGTGCCACTCCCCTGCTTCACCACTGGAGGGGGAAGTCCACTCAGAAGTCTGCTCAGTCTGCTCAACTACCAGAACTCCAGCACAGCTGGAAAAAAGGAAATCCAAGGTTCTCCCATTACCCCAGCTTGCCCCCTATGATATGAGTTGGCATAGTTTTATTTCCATTCTTTGGAAAACAACAAGGGGAAGAGATTCTAACACAGAGACACAGCATCCCCAAAGGGCCAAAACACAGCTTCATAAGAAATGACAGGTCACCACCACCCCTGACTGCTCTGTCTGTCCCACAGATTTCAACGAGAGGAATCAGCAAATGCTTTTCATTTCCACTGAAATCTCTTCCAGAGTGAACTTGATCCCTTAGCTGAGTCATGCTTTTTCCTCATGAATTCCAACACAATTAACTGTACTTCAAATAGAAAACATTTCCATGCAGAAACAGAAAAAATAATATACAGATTATTATATGTATTGACTGTGCAATGATGGGATGGATAGCCTTTGAACGATGCAACTATAGCTCATGGAAAACCTGATGAAATACAAAAGCATCTTATTCAACTACTAGAGCTTTCTTTTGAGGTATTTTGTTTGGTTTGTGCCCCGGCTTTATACCAAAAATGGCATTTAAGCTGGCTTAAGAACACTAACAAACCCTTGGTTGCCCTCCTGAGACCCTTGGTATTGGATGGGATAGAAATGTTTCAAACAAAGAAACCTTGATAAAAACAGTAACAAACATTATAATAATAATGAAACACAGGTCAAAAGCAGACAGATCAAGCCTATTCAAACATCAGTTAATTATAAATCATTTCCACCCACACCTGTGACTCCAACTATTTATGCTAGGTCTTTTAGGCTGCAACCTTATGGGGACTGTCCATAACCTTCTGAATTCAGAGGAACTGCAAGCAACCTATAGAGTGGAAGAAGTGCAGAGGCAAAGCCCACCTCTGTGTGCTTTCTGCCTGGCAAAGCAGCTGGACAGCTGCCCTAAAGCACATGTGCCTTGTTGTCATCAATTCTGATTAGTCCAGAAATACAAAGTTAATAGAAGTAGGGTTCTATGAAGGTGGTTTTAGAATTAATCTGCAATGTAAACTGCTGACTTGTCAAGTGGGTTCATATTGGGAGTGTAGGTCTCTATACACAGGGTATAGAAGAATCTGAATCTGATGGTTCCTGGGTTTTGATCTTTTAAAAATTAACATAGTAAAATGTACTGCTCTCTCAAATGATTTTAGCTTTTATATGTACTTGTATTAACAATATGGAATCACAAAGTCACTGTTAACAGGGCAACCTGTCAATTACACTCATTTGCTGTATTCCAGAGCTTCAGGTATACTATAAATAGAAGTATCTCCAGGTTCACCAGTGTAACCCCCATTCATATCAAGAGGCACTTCATACAAGTGATATAGTCCTCCCTTAACTGAGGTGAGGTAAGGAATCTCCTCGTGTCCACAGGAACCCTCCTGCATTACAAAGATCTACAGGATCACTGGATTAGGGTTAGGTTACTTCTTTAAAAAACAAAACAAACCCAGAAATACTGTTATGAAATTCTAGGATACTAAGTTGAATGTAAAGATGCTAACCCTTCTTCAGCTGTATCTTTCTGCAGTGAGCAGCCCACAACCTGTAAAAACACAAACATACAATAAGGTTGAGAAGGTGTATTTGACTGGAAAATGCAGCTAAGTCCAGCTGCACCTTAAATACTGGCTTTGAATCAGGGTATTGTATATAATTTGCAAAAAGCCACAAAACAGAAAAGTTAATATTGCTGTCTGTGATTGGATTGGAAAATATCCTGTAAAGAAGATACTAATGATTATACCTGAAATGTTCTCTATGTTTTGAAGTTTGCTTGAGCAAAAACAAACACAAAAATACTATTGCTATAAAATGATTTCCTATAACATTCAATCTACAGTTATGTTAGAGGTAAAGCTTGTCAAATTCAAATTTGTATGAGTTTCTTGTGATAAGTATTTTCTAAATTTATTTGCAGATCTTGTATATGTAGTTTTTCAAAGGAGCTTATTTTTGCTACACCCAATAGAGCTAACACAAGATTTTCATATACATTTCAAGGATTGCATCCAGACTCTGCCTTTCACTGATGGGAAGGGCTCTGTGCACAGAAGGGGCCTCTACCTGAAAGTTGGAGATCCCTCCATCACCACAGCTCAGCCCATTCAGCCCGGCCCTCTGACTCTCTGTGTAGCATTTTCAGGGGGCTGGAGGGGCCACTGTGGGGAGAAGAGGGTGGAGGAAAAATGTTTAAGAAATCTGATTGCAGGTATGTATTTTTCCTAGGGAATACAACCCCCACGCCCAAATGCTTTGATCAAAGGCCTTCAAGAAATGTTTCAAATCAACAGGGAAGGCCTTTTTTTGTTTGTTTTTTAGTACAGAATTCTTCCAATTTCATTTCTATTCAACTCAGGGCCAGCTCACACAACACTTTTCCTTCCTGTGCAAACAGCCCCTTCTCTGAATGTACGGTAAAGGTTTCTCTCATATGTGCGTGCTAGTCGTGTCCAACTCTAGGGGCAGTGCTCACCTGTTACAAGCCAAAGAGACAGTCGGAAGACACTTCTGTGGTCATGTGGCCAGCATGACTAAATGCTTTTGCGCACAAGAAGCTGTTACCTTCCCACCGAAGTGGTGCCCATTTATCTACTTGCATTTGCATGCTTTGAAACTGCTAGGTTGGCAGGAGCTGGGGCGAGTAACGGGAGATCACTCCGTTATGCAGCACTAGGGATTCTAACAGCCAAACTGCTGACTTTCTGGGTGACAAACTCAGTGTCTTTGAATATACACACTCATAAATACAAAGATAAACATGCCAGCACAAGGATCACTGATGTTTCAGCACTTGCTCTTGTAATCATGACTGTACCTATTCATACAGATTGTGTGTGTGCAGAATCCCTTGTTCATTTCAATGCATGACTGAATGAATAGCTATATTACTCTTCCTGTCTGCATTACAGTAATTAAATGGAATGAAATGAGTAAACCAATTACAGAGTTAGGTAAGTATGTCTCTCAGTTTCAATGGACAAATATAGGCAGGGGTACATAAAACTATGGATATTAGTCCATGTGTCCCCTTCTAAAGACAATGGCATCATAAATCATTAGTACTCTCTCTTTACAGTTGTGGAACTGAGGATAAAACTAGGGCAACTCATACAAAGGTTGTCTTTATTTATTAAATTTTTATCCTGCCTTTTTCCTTTCAAGAAATCAAGGCAGCTCACATGATTCTCCTCCTCTCAATCTTATCCTCACAACAACAGCCCTGTGTGGTAGGTTGGACTGAGAGTCTGTGACTGGTTCAAAGTCACCCAGTGAGCTCCATGGCTGAGTGGAGACCAAGAAGAAGAATCTTTTTGCTCAAACTGCACCTACAGTGGCTCTACAGTTCTCCCCACTGTCCAGATGGTGCTTGTTCTCTGGATCAGATAGGATCTAAGAGTAAACTAAAGTGACAGCCAATGTATTTGGAAGGGTAATGACAGTCCTTGACAGCCAGTGCATTTGGAAGGCTAATGAAGGCCATAACAATCTAAGACAGTAGTTTCTGGGAGACTTCCTAGGTATGCAGAAGTATGTGTGATTGTAAATCAAAACAAAGGTAAAGATTTCCCATGACTTCCTCTCCCAAAAACCCAATACCCTGGCAGGCTCAGTGACTTCCAGAAGCCTTAGGATGTTTACCATCTACTGCAAAGAAAAGCAAATGGAAATGAAAAATGTGGTGTGTTTGCATATAAAACTTCCCTATTTACACCCTTAACTACTTATAAATACTTTGGAGAAACATGTTGCTAGCTGTCTGGATCCCTAAATAGTAATACCCCCCTTAAGGAAGAACTTACACCACACAATTTTATTGCAGGGCTTACTTGTTTACCTGTAATGTGTAATTATGTGGAGATAATACAGAAAATAGAAAGAACTGTTTCAAGAAGCCTGAAATTCAGGGTAGCAACTCTCCACTTCTCTACTTGGACTGCAACTTATTCCATTAGAAGGCAGCTCTGAACTTCTGAATATTTAGTGCCCTACTACTAGGCCATTACCAGCAGGGTTGTTTTGGTAGTTGTTGTTGTTTTGGCCTTGTCTTCCTTTTCTTTTACATCTAGATGGGCCTCTGAGCCTAATTAGAGGACGTATGCTGCCAGAAGCAGAGCTGGGGATGGAGAGACCAAAGAAATGTTCATAGCTCCTCCTCTCCCCTCACTGCCCACCAGAATAGCCCCTTTAGGATCCCCACAGGTTCCTTCAAAACACTTTTTCAACCTTAGAAAACAGGTGCCATGATTCTTTCTGTGGGGGATGAGGTAAGGAGGGGCAGAGGGATTAACTTTGGGAAGAGCAATTCAAAAAATAGGTCCCTAGGCATTGTTTTAGCTCTGGATTGATATTCAGCTGGTTTACCTGTGTTTCCTCTTCTTCTTTCTTGGAGGAGTATCAACATCTTCAGCAGGTGCAGGAGCAATAATACTAGATTCTTTTACTCTAAACTCATATACCTGTAAGGAGATTAACATTCCTGTGACTAGTTCCTCACTGGCAAAAGTCAGTCATTTTCTATTAGTATGTATCTATTTCTTCTAGCATGGCTAGGAGTGAATGTATACTTAAGGCAGTATTTCTCCTGGTAATACGAGTTATTTATTCATATTCTTAACCTAATCTCAACCAACTGCACACAGTGATGTTGATGCTAATGCAAATGAGAGGATTTTATCAGACTACACTGAATCTGCTTGGATCCTCTATGTACATTAAGAACTTCAAATTCCTTAGAACAGGAATTTTAGTATCATGACACTAGTACTGTTTTTGAAAGCACTCTCTTTGTTGTCATTTTACTCTTACCTGCCTACATGTTTTGGTCCCAATTAATCTGGCAATTGCACAGAAATTGTCATAGTAGGTACCAATGAGAACTCTGAACATTGAAGCTTCTGCACCACTCCATTCAACATTCTCAGGAGGTTCAATATTTGGCTTCATTTTGATAGGTGTTTGACATCTTGAATTTGCTTCTGAAATACCAAGAACAAACACTGAAGCAGTTAATATGGAAATTTTCCAACTGAATGCTCCTTTAGTTATTGTGCTGCATGGTATGAATTAACTTTGACACCACAAACTTTGAAACGGTGTAGTCCTCAAATATTTGGCAGATAAATAAAATTTAAATTAAGAAATAACTTATTAATTTAAACAACTTATATGCCACCCCATCGCAATGGGGTGGCAATCCCATATAAAATTCAACAAATAAATAAAATACAAAAAATAAATAAAATAAAATAGTGGATCCAGCCTGGTCAATTTAAACCAACAAATAAACCATTAACAGTTAAAGTAGTGTTTAAATAAAAAGGTCGTGGCCTGGCGCCGAAAAACAAATAAGGACGGCGACAGGCAGACCTCTCTGGGGAGCGCATTCCATAGGTTGGGCGCCACCGCAGAGAAAGCCCTCCTCCGAGTACTCACCCTCCGAATATCCTTCACGGAGGGTTCCCGGAGAAGGGCCTCTGTCGCCGATCCCAGGGGGCGGGAGGGCATTGCTGGCATATTCAGCACAGTGACACATACAAAGATGCAGCCAGTGATTTCCTAGCAGGCAGGGAACTCTTACCTGTTTCGGTATTAGGTGTGACTGGTTCACTCATTTACTTCTAATGCATAGAGATAGCAAGAGCACAAGCCATCAAAGTAAGAGACTAATTGGAAGACAACATTTTTGGAAATCGAATGAGAAAGGTTCAGTATATAATTAACTCATCTCTTGTGGCACACTAGCATGTCCCACCACAAAGCTAGTGAATGACTTGCAAAAGATCTACATAGGCAATGCTTGCCTTACTTGACCTCTTGTAACTTAATGATTTTTATTTTTATATATCAGCATGACAGGAACAGTTTGCAGTTCATGGGAAGCAGACACACATGCACTTGAATGCACGCAAAGAAAATATAGCTATTTATACCTAGCTCAGAAATGCTCCTTGTTTAAACTCCAATCAAACTTGCCCGTTCTAGAGCTTTCTCTAGCAACAACTGTCTCATTTTCCAAGATAATTCAAGTAACTAAGAGTGATGGAAAATTAACATTAAAATTTCACAAGCAGATACTGTATAACAACACCAAGACTCCCTAATAACAAAAACTTTGCCACTGCATATGTATTGGAAGATGGGATGATACAAGTATTTTAAATATATGTAGCCAGTAAGAACTATTTCTTAGTAAAACCAACAACATTCAAGGTTTGTCTCACCAGAGGAACTTGAAGTCTCATCTTTCTTCTCCTCTTCCTCTTTGTCATTATTTTCGCCTCCAGTTTCAGTTCCAGCTTCTCTATCACTGTCTGTATCTTTAGATTCTAACACATTTATAGTTGGAGTGCTAGGCCTGCTGGTGTTATTTGGAAGCCTTCCTCTTCGGCGCCCCCCTGGACGTTTCGGTGGTGTTTTTATTCGCTCAGCAGTTAAAGCAGCTGCAAACTCTTTGGCTCCTTCCTATGTATGAACAGAAAAATTTGCAGACATCAGTAAGGAAAGGAGAATGTATAGCTGATACCTCCCAGCTTATTGTAATTATTTGCCTAGATCCAAATAATTACAATAAGACCACCTAAATGGCTCGTGTGTGTAAGATTTTGTTTTTCCTTAGAACAACAGCTCTTCCCTATACCATATCAGAGGCTGCTTTTTGTCCCTTAGCTACAGAACAGGTTTATCTTATGGCATACACGGCTGCTTTTTGAAAACTCAAGTTCATCTCTTCCTTGGGCACACAGCACTAGCCTGTTGTTTAGTGCCTACTGATTCCATTTTTATTTAGGCAATAACTAGGCATTACATTATTTAACCATGTAAATAACTAGCTAAACGGAAAGCAAATGGTTTTCAAGCTCACAAGCTATGTTTTCCACAAAAGACATTTGTGTTGCTAAAAAGTATTCCCTTCATTTAGCTTTTGCTAGTAATCTATCTCCTTTCTCTCTTTAGTCAGAGTTGAAGTTTTTTTTTCCAAAAGGAAAATAAAGTTCAATATGCTGGTCATCTGCATAAGTGGTGACAATGAACTACGACACTGGGGAGTCTAGTGATCCCAACAAAAGTTGTGAAAGTGAGTAGCAGCAACAGTACTTCTTAGTGATCACCAATTCATGTAAGGCTTTCAGTATCTGAACCACCAACTGACTATGGAGTACCCCTCCTTCAATGGTTACTTTCCACAAAACTTTACATTCAGGTACATTTATTTTCTTTCAGCGACTACCATCTGGTTACAATGATGGAATCCAGGTTCTCTTCAGGTCACTGCGTTTTTTACATTGACAGAAGACTGAAAAGCAATGTCCTTTGCAAAGAATGCAGGAGTTACAGCACAGAAACCTTGACTATAGCACCGGTCTCCCAAACTAGTAAGACTGGCATGATGTTTGATAATTGGAAAAAGGGGTCCCCGAGTGGGGAGATGGCCATGATTCCAGTTGCTTTTATGCAGGGAAGGCATGGTGATCAGAGGCACGCTGCTGCAGGAAAGACGGGAGCAGCAAAGCAGAGCCGCAGGGCAAATGGCCGAGATTACGCCAGTCTTTCCTGCAGGAGCGCGCCTCTGATCAGGCACGCCTTCCCTGCACGAACGGAACTGCAATCGAGGCCATCTCCACACCCCCAACGCACCGTTTGCACCCATCTCTCCCTCCCCCAGTGCACCTGCAATCACGCCTGTCTCTCCCCCGCACCCCCAGTGCGCCGGGATGACGGGCATGTGCAGGGATGATGGGCATGTGCAGGGATGACAGGCATGATCTCAGTCATGCTGGGAGGGGGGCGGGGAGATGGCCACACTTGTGCTGGGGGCGGAGGAGGAGGAGATAGCCGCCATCTTTGTTGTTGTCACTCTGCTTCATATTTTTCTCATTTAAAAAATGGTTACAGAACGGATTAACCTTATTTACATTGAACCTATGGGGAAATTTAACTTGGCTCATGACCAATTTGGGTCACAACCAGAGTCCTGGAATAGATTAAATTCGTGAACCAAGGTACCACTGTATATGCATATTCCCAAAGGTTTTCTGAACTTCTGAAATTCACAGAATTACTATACAATACTGTTTATACAGATCAGAGTAGCAAGCACTATGATGTCCAAGGTTTTTTTCATTTTCATTTTCATTTCTGACTCTATTACAATCTACTTCTCCAGTGCTCTCTTCCTCACCAGAAGTCCTTTCCTTGCAAAAATAAAAATAGTTCCAGAATTCAAAAATGTTACACGTTAACAGGCGAAACTGTGACAATGAATGTTGGGCAATGAATCCTGACTTGGAATTAGAAAATTGTGGATGGGTTCAACATAAGCAGACTTCCCCTCCACAACATCCCAAATCTGCTCTTGCCCCAGTCTGCTTCTCTGGAGCAGGGGCTGCAGGAGGGAGAATTCACAAATTAGCTTTGTTACAGAATTCACAAATTAGCTTGGCAAGAGCAGTTGCAGCATATGATGATCAGGGACAACAGTGCCAATTTGATCAGCTCCATCTGCAGCCAAATGAAGCAGACAACACTGCTAAAGTAACAAAAGAATAAAGCCAAGACTGCCATAGAAAGCTAGTATTAGCATTTTGGTGATGTACAGGAATGTCACTGAAATGCCTCCCAAGTTCACCTGAACCCCACAAATTAATCCAGCCTGTCCAGCACAAAGGCAGGTTGCTTACCTGTAACGGTCATTCTTTGAGTGGCCATCCGTGCATCACACATTATGGGTGCTGCGCCTGTGCAGTGCCTGTTGCCAGGAGGATTAAACAGCTTTAATGGTTTCAATGGGAACTCCGCACCCTCCCCGTCTTAGTATAAAGGGGAGGAGTGCCCACCATTTCCCCAGTGAGCTGGAGACTGTCCGTTCGCCCCCAAGTGGAGAGAGTTGGTAAGGAATCCAACTCATAAACTAAAAATGATATAAGTAGGTAAGGAAAAAGAGCATACATATAATATGTATATATGAAGAAGACACACACACACACACGCAACATATATGCAGCAGATACCCAGTCATTGATACCGAGTGGGGCCGGTGCGCAGGTCGTGTGAATGCACGGATGTCCACTTGAAGAACGACAGTTACAGGTAAGCAACCTGCCTTTCCTCATCATGGCCTCCGTGCATCACACATTATGGGTGACCCAGAGGTGGGACAGTATCATCACTGGAGGACTGAAGAGAGGACAGCCTGACCGAAGGAGCAATCTTGTCTGGACTTGACGTCCAAGCAATAGTGCTTTGTAAAAGTGGACCATGTAGCTGCTTTGCAGATACCTTGCAAAGGGATCCCTGCTCAGAGGGCAGAAGAAGCACCAACAGCTCTGGTGGAGTGTCCCTTTCAAGTAACAGGCAGGTCTAACTTGGAAACACAATAGGCCAGTTGAATCGTCTCAACGATCCACTTTGAAAACCTTTGAGTACTGACCATATTTGACAAATAGTTGTTTAGACCTTCTAAAGGATTTGGTTCAGGATTGATAAAAGGCTAAGCATCGACAAATGTCCAAAGTATATAGGGACTGTTCGACTGGTGTCGATGGAGCCGGAAAAATGGCTGGCAGTACAATGTCCTGGCTTAGATGAAAAGAAGTCACAATTTTAAGCAGGAAACTTAGATCGGTGCGAAGAACTACCTTTTCTTTATAGAAGTTAAGGTATGGAAGGTCGACACACAAGGCACACAGTGCACTGGCTCATCTGGCCGAAGTAATTGCCACTAGGAAGGCAGTTTTCCACAAGAGAAGCTGAGATCAGTTGTAGCCAGTGGCTTAAATGGGGATTTGGTAAGAGCCTGAAGAACAATAGGCTCCACATCAGGACTACTAATCGGGTTAGTGGGTGGAGGTTTTGTAGTCCTTGTAGAAATCAACGCACAAGATAGTGCGATAATACAGTCGAGTCTCCAGTACACCCTCTATGATGTGAGATGGCTGCAATGTACACCTTAATGGAGGATGGCTTAAGAGTTCCATGGTGTAGTGCAAGATATTTTCAATGGTGGCAGATTGAGGATGAAAGTGGTACGCTGAAGCGCTTCCATTTGGCGTTGTACAAACATCGTGTGGTGGGACGTAGTGCAGATTGAAGAATAAATTGTATGTCAGGATGAAAAGTTGTTGGATTCAAGGTAGGCATTGGTACCGATGTCAAAGTCAAAGGCAATACAGATGTGAGACAATGTAGATAAAACCGACGGAGAAGCAGATGTTGATCCCGAGGGCAAGAGGTGTGATGAATCTGAGGAAAACATCAGTACCGATGTAGAAGAGAGAGTCAATGAACAAGCCAAGCAGTGAAGTTCAGAGACTGTAAGTCCGGATGTTGAATGGCACTGTGTTCCCGAGTAAGAAGATGAGAGACTTGAGGTAGGTGAAAGAAAATGTTGTGAGAAAGTTGGAGAAAAGTTGGGGAACCAGGGCTGTCGAGGCCACCACGGAGTGACAAGAATTCCACAAGCAGCGTCCTGCCGAATCTTGGCAATTGTTCTTGTTAACGGTATTGATGGGAAGGCATAGAAGAATTTGTTCTCCCATGATACCATGAGGTCATCTCCCATTGAGTTCATGCCAATGCCTGCTTGGGAGCAGTACGTTGTGCAGTGTTTTTGTGGGTCGCAAATAAAGTCCATGTCCGGTGTTCTCCAACGCTGAAACAGGCAACGACAAATTCAGCAAGCTAGATCCCACTTGTGATTGGTCGACATATGTCTGCTCAGGGAATCGGCTTCTTCGTTGTCAGTACCCGCAAGATGCATGGCTTGCAGAACGATTTTGTGAGCGATGCACCAGTTCCATATGCGAATGGTGAGGTTCGCCAATGGTACCGACTTCGTACTGTCTTGTTTGTTCAGACAGAATACAGTCACTATATTGCTGGGCACTATCTGAATCACATGACCCTGAAGGATGGGTTGAAAAGAGCAGAGAGCTTTGAAAACCACCAGCAATTCCAGGTAATTGATATGACTGGTGGTCTTGTGGCTGTGCCAGGTGCCCTGCGTCCAAAGAGACACACAATGGGCACCCCATTCAGTCAGGGAAGCGTCGATATAGAGAGTCATTGTTGGATGAGGTGGACAGAATGAGGCTCCACTGGAGAAGTTGGAATTGGTCGTCCACCAAGACAGGGTGCAGAATACTTAGTGCGGGGGTTGGAGCATTCAACTGGGTCGATCATGGTCTGGGTGGAAATTGCAACTGAACCAGAGTTGTAAAGGTCTCATTTGCAGCCTCATGTTCAGAACTACTGCCACTGTGGATGCCATATGTCCAAGTATTTGCTGTATGGAGTGCGCAGAGGTATCTCGTTGAGTGATGATGCTCTGAATAGACGAAATCAGTCTCTCTTGTCAGTCCCGAGGCAGGAAGGCTCGTGTGCATACACAGTCCAGACGTGCTCCAATAAAGTTGATAACTTGAGAAGGAATGAGGCATGATCTTTCAGTATTTACACATAATCCGAGACAATCAAGGAGGGAGCAGGTTGTGTGGATGGAGGCTAAGAGGTCGTCCTTAGAAGAGGAGACCACAAGCCAGTAAAGGGTAAACGTAGATACCCTTGAATCGAAGGAGCACAAATAGGAGCCATTCACTTGGTGTATACTTGTGGAGTGGTAGCAAGATCGAAGGGGAGTACATTATATTCGAAGACGTTGGAACCAACAGTGAATCAGAGGAGGTGCCTATGAGCAGGATGAATGGTAATACAAAAGTAAGTGTCTTTCAAGTCCAAGGATGTGAACCAATCCTCTCTCCTGAACAACGGAAGTATGTTCTGAAGCATGGTCATCCTGAATTTTTTTAGGTCTGATAAATTTATTGATGCCATGCAAGTCCAATATCAGGTGTAGACCACCATCACACTTCATTAAGATTAGAAACTGTGCAGTCCTTCAGAGCACCTGACTATGAATTGCTCCCTTGTGAAGCAGCTGAGACACCTCATCCCCAAGTGATGGGGAGGCTGCTGTATAATGGATCAGGTTGGCAGGTGGAAGGGTCTCAAACTCGATTTTGTATCCATGCTCTATGACGGTAAGAACCCACTTATCAGATGTGATGGACTCCCAGATGGGGAGTCGACTTTGCAGTTGATCCCCAGAAGGAAGAGGGGAAGGTGGGTTGGAGTTAAGAGGAGAGTTTCGCGTGTTTCCTCAGCATGGACACTTGCCAGCATCTGGTCGGTGCCTGGGTTGTTTGAATCTAGGCGCATTCTGTCAGCGGTACCACTATTGTCTTTGGCCATATTGCTGGTGCCCAGATGAATATGGTGACTGGTAAAGTTGGTAGAGGTACTGAGATCTGCCCCAAGGCCACTTGCGTCTTCGTTGGGATGGAGTCTCCAGACAACATGCCATAAGATGGGCCTGCTGGATGTTTTCCACCTTGTCGTCTGTCCTGGCATTGAACAGGCTGGAACCATCGAAAGGCATGTTCTCCACATGCTGCTTGATTTCCTGAGGCAGATTTCCAGATCTTAACCAGGCGTGACAATGAAGCACAATGGCACTGATGAGGGCTCGAGAGTTGCAATCGACATGATGTCTCGCTGTGTTGAGCTGCTGCTTGGAGAGCTGCTTTGCCTCTCTGATGATGAGACGGGCCAGCACCCTCTGCTGGTCTGGAAGGAATGCAGAGAGGGACTCAATCTTCTGCCAGAGGAAGAACTGGTAACGGGCCATGGTGGCCACGTAGTTCAAGATCCGAAGACCAAGTCCCATAGCAGTGCAGATGCAGCAAGACATTGTATCGATTCTTCTGCCTTCTTTATCCATCGGGGTAGAATGTTCCTTATTCTGACACTCTTGAGAGGATTCGATGACTATTGAGATCGGTTGAGGATGTTTCAACAGGAAAGGAATGTCCTTGTACATCCCCTCGAGGTGTCTGGAGGTGGGATGAGGATGGTCAGGCAGCTGCCAAGTGTCAGTCATCTCCTGTCTAAGCGTGGTGATAAAAGGCAGGGCGACAGACGATGAATCTTCCTTGTGGACAATATCATAAATATTATCTTGATTTGGATCAATGCACTGTTGTACACTTATCTCCAACAACTTGGTCATATGGGAGAGCAACTCAGAGAAAGTTCCCTGAGAGTCACCCGGAGACCCAGAGCCCTGGGTGGAGATGACTGCATCTGGAGATGTGGATGCTTGTTTAGACTTGTCCGAGTCTGAGTCAGAGATGTAAGGTGAACTGGACAAAAATCCACCAGGAGACATTGAAGAGTTGGCAAGCGCTGCAGCAGAGGTCAACGGTGCGTCTCTTGACACGGGGTGCGACAAAGTGACGAGGGCGCGGTAGTGGACATGGGTAATATCCATATGGGAAATAGCAGTCCCACGGGAAAGGCTGATCAAAGTGGTCAGGATCGAATTCCTCATAAGGAAGGGGAACCCAGTGCCGTGATGGCTGTGGCGCCAAAGGTGGAGGTAGTAAGAGGGATGAAGGGCATTAGTATGCCCTCAGAGGTCCCTCTGGAGATGAGCGAAGGTAGGTGTCAGAGTTCTCACAGGTGGTTCTTCAACTCCTGGCTGCAGAGATCTGTGGCTCTCTCCGTCAGACATGGAGCCTCTTGCCACAGCATTGGGACTGAAGTGTGGCGAAGTTGTAACCCTTGGAGGTGACAATGGAGGGGTCACTTGCATAAGGGACTGACAGCTCAGGGCTTCGACCGGAACCGAGGTCGGGCTTGAGAATGGAATAGTGGTTGGCTCCAAGTGGGGCAGCTTGTCATGCTTTTTGTGCCAACGCTCGGGCTTGTTGGGTTTGTCCTTTTTGGGACATTTGGACTTTGAGGAATCCTTGGACCCGATGTGTTTCCTCTTCTCCTTATGCTTGCGGGGAGGAGGACTAGAGGAGCACTTTCCATCCCTGCTAACAGGGCCCCCTTCAGATAGTTGGCCAGATGGGTTTTTAGATGGTCCCGCAGCTGCAGAGGAGCTGGCCTCAGCCGAGACCTGCTTCATAGCGACCAAGGCTTGGTTCTATAACATCTTTCGCAGCCTGTTTTCACGATTTTTACGAACCTATTTGGTAAAGGACTGGCAATGGCTACATTTATCTGTCGTGTGGCCTTCCACAAGGCAGAGGCGGCACAGGTTGTGAGATCAGTGGGGGACATTTTAGCCCCACACTGAGAGCACTTACAGAAAGCCACCCACTGTGCCATTGAGAAGGAAAAGAGAACACAGTGAGCGTAACAAAGTGGAGAAGGACAAAAGAAGGTCATAGGTAGGGGTGGGGGGGATTAGAAACAGAGAGTTTAGGAATGGGGGGAACTGGGACACAAGATAACAGTAAAGCGAAAAGAAGAGTCAAGACAAGAAAAACTTATAACCAGATCAGCAGCAATATAGCAGAAAGCAAAAGAGCCTGAGGCATGGTGAACAGCGGTCACAAGAAGACTGGGGAAATGGCGGGCACTCCGCCCCTTTATACTACAGGGGGGAGGGTGCAGAGTTCCTGCCGAAACATTAAAGCTGTTTAATCTTCCTGGCAACAGGCACTGCGCAAGCACAGTGTCCATAATGTGTGATGCACGGAAGCCATGATGAAGAACAAATAGAAATAGAACCTGGCCCTTCTTTCTGCTGTAGTTAAAGACATGGAGTGAAAAAAATGTATTTTGTGAACAACATTATGAAGTACACATTAACTGACAAAGCATTTTAGCATACCATCTTATTTGATTCAGACATTTCTTTCCTGGGACAAGAAATTTTATTTGTATATGTACCTTTTCCCCCAAGATCGAAAAAAATGCCAAAACTCTTAAGCTAAGAAGAAAAGTTAAGTCTTACCAGGTGTTGGTAACAGTGTGGTCCACAAGGTTTGTTATCTATTGCAGTTTCTGTATTTTTCCGTTTATAAGTATTAGGAGTTGCATGGAATGCTACAAAAAGTTCAAAAGGAGTCTTCATTAAACATGGAGCAAGCTTAGCCAATGTAGTAAATTATAAATGTCCATTATTTGACCATTTAGCAATATTGCAATAATTTACTGTGAATAATTACAAGTTACAGTTACCAATGGCTGCAATATTATTTTAAGAAAATTATGCAGTAGTGGTGATCTAGAAAGCTAAAGGCACTCTTCTATACAAATTTAATTTAATTTAATTAAGACATTTATATGCTGTCCTTTGCAGCAGCCTCAGGGCGGCTTACAGATCTTCCTACTTACCCTCAGTGTTTTATGTACAATCTTTAGTGAGGAGAAGCTATGTCTTTACATTATTGAATGACAACCCTCAGCTAAATTATTGTTAGTTGTGATGCTTGCTGAATTAATTCCTTAGTGCTTGTTGAGAGATGTTTAGACAATAATATACAAAATATAATATTAAGTCTATTAAGCTTTCATAATAAGCCTGACATACTGCATCTTTGGAAGCCCATCCTGAATTAAAGACACCCTGTAAGAAAATACATTATGATCTCTCTGTTTTCCCCCAAACAATTGAAATTTAATATTTTCAAGGTGCAATTATGTAACACTGCATAATGATACTGCTTTTCAACAGCTTTTTTCAAGTTCATATGATTAGTTTGTATTCCTTGGGAAAAACTTTTCTGTCAGAATCCAGTTGTGTTGTTATTAAACTAAGATACTCCCACTCTTCTGGCGTTACTTGTGTCCTTTCAACTATATAATCTCTACCTGATTATCTAACACACTTATAATATACAAAGCCCCAAGAGCTAAAGGCAGAAGGATCTTATTTGGATAACAACACAACTTGGATTCCAATAGAACAGGTTTCTGCAAGGAATTAAAACTAGTCATATGATCATGATAAAGACTGTTTGACAAAATGGATGGGTATCAATGTTTCATAGCCTAGTTTCTGTGAATGTATAGTTAAGTGTTTAATATGTATACATCACAGGCAACCGTTTGGATGCATGAGATAAAAGCATTTTAAGTTTGATACAGGTTTTGACTTTCACAAAAAGAAGGGCTCTGTATAGCCCTCTGCCCAATTCTCATTATTGTTCAAACCTGGCAAGCATGGGTTATGTGAGGGTTGAAGAAAGGTTCACATAACAGAGCATATTCAATGTGGTGGTCACACAAACTCTACCATCTCACCATAGTTTAAATATCACCTGTGGACTGCCATGTCAAGCAGACAGGCCCTCTGTGTAGCATTTGTAGAAGACTGGAAGGGCTACAATAGGAAGAAGGGAATAAAGAAAGCCACTTTCACCAACAAAGTTGATCCAGCCTAAAACTGTATATAATTCTTTTTATACAATAGGGTTCTTGTGTTGCAGTGTAGTGGTTCTTGTCACACTTGTTTGGATGACCCAAAAAGTAGTTTGTTTTATGGAAGTGGTATTTTAATTTTAAAACATTCCTTTCAAAGTAAGCAATAATACAAATATGTAATTGGATTTTTCTGGGTGGAACAAAACTCAAAGATTAGGGCTAAAATTCTTTATTTATCATCAAAAGATGGGGGATTTCATTGAATAAAATAGTACTATCAGGCAGCTATGTTACAACATCTGAAGATGAGGCTAAAATGATAATATAACCATCCTGGAACCAGTAAATGACTCAATACAGATGAAAATCCTCTTTTTTGTGGTATCGAATACAGTATATCCCTGTGAAGTCGCGGTTCAGCGTTCGTGGCTTCAGTCTTTTGTGGGATTATTCTCTGAGTGAGTCCAAGCCAATCTCCTTGCAAGTAAGCCGGCACCTTGCTGTACGGCAGCTTACTAGCACAGAGATCATTTTCTCCAAGCGAGTCCAAACATTGGACTCGCTCAGAGAAAATGATCTCTGTGTACGCCCGCCCGTCCCTGCCGCGCCACGCGCATGCACCTGCCCCCAGCCCGACCTGGCCCTTGCCTCCTGCCCGCACCGCCTTGGTGGCCAGCACCCATCGCCGGCACCAAATTCACGGTTTTTCAAAATTTGCGGGTGGCTTTAGGAACGTAACTCCTGCAAATTTTGGGGGACTACTATAAACCCAAATATTAGCACTTTGTTTTCAGTTTGGCAAAAGTTTAACAGCAGACTAAGTCTAAGTTTATCACCCTTTACTGCTATTGATTATGAAAAAATAGATATAAAGTGTTTGGCAAGAAACAGAATTTTGGGAAGATTGCTGAAATTTAGGATATTACTGACAAATGGGTTAATTAAAACGTATTCAATTAAACAAGATATATAGGCAAACTCAGCTCTTATTTCTTCAACACTGGCAAATGAGGGATATTGTTAACCATGTCTTTTCTCAAATATACCTCCTTCAGAGATAGTTCTGATTTTGAAATATTGATTCATTCCAATAAGTCACAGAGAATACTGAGCAGTATTTATACAATTAGTGTCAAAATGGAATCATCTAAGTACCCAATGAAGTAAGAAAAAGAGATTTCCACAACTGTAATTTCTGATGGAAATAAATATGGATTGAAGTATATTTTAGTAAAAGAATATCCTTGGATCATGCCTAAGAAAGTCAGGTTATTTACCTGCAACTGTCGTTGTTTGAGTGGTCATCTGTGCAATCACACATAATGGGTGCTGCGCCTGTGCAGCGCCTGTTGCTGGCCAGAATACCCAAGCTGCAACTGTTTTTTGGCAGGAACTCCGCACCCCTCCCCCCTGGTGCTATATAAGGTGGAGCGCCTGCCATTTTCCTCAGTCTCTGAAGACCGCCAGATCGACCCCTAGCGGAGCATGCCATCTAGCAGAGGAGGCGACAGAAAGAGACTACCATCCCGTCCCTTGACACCGAGTGGGGCTGGAGGGCGCGTTGTGTGACTTTCGTTCTTTGAGTGGTCATCTGTGCAGTCACACAATGCGCCCTCCAGCCCCACTCGGTGTCGAGGGACGGGATGGTAGTTACTTACCTGTGACTTTCTTCATCGTGGTCTCTGTGCATCACACATAATGAGTGATAAGCTTCACTCACTGAAGGTGGGTCGGTGTCGTCAGTGAAGGATGGATGAAAGAACAGCCTGTCCAAAGGAGCAATCCTGTCTGGCCTGAACATCCAATCTGTAGTGTCTAGTAAAGGTACAGGGAGTTGTCCATGTAGCAGCTTTACAAATGTCCAGCACTGGGACGCCCGACGAGAAGGCCGAGGAGGCTGCTATGGCCCTGGTAGAATGACCCCCGGGAGTAACAGGAAGTTCTATCTTGGCCAGTTGGTAAGCCAGTTCAATGGTTTGTACTATCCATTTCGATAGTCTTTGAGCAGAGAGAGAGGTGCACCCTTATCAGGTTCAGAATATTTGACGAACAAATGTTTAGTTTTCCTGAAACTCTCTGTGCGTGACCGGTAGAAAGCTAGGCACCAGCGCACATCAAGGGAATGAAGAGATTTCTCTATCAGGGTTGATGGGGATGGAAAAATGCTGGAAGCACAATGTCCTGATTAATGTGAAATGCTGTGGCCACCTTGGGGAGAAACGCCAGATCTGTACGCAGAACTACCTTTTCCTTGTGGAAGTTAAGGTATGGTGGGTCTACACGGAGTGCAGAAAGTTCACTTGCCCTCCTCGCTGAGGTTATGGCGACCAAGAAGGCTGCTTTCCAAGATAGCAATCTCAAATCTGTTGTTGCGAGGAGTTCGAAAGGAGCTTTGCTAAGTGCATGCAGAACTACAGATAGACTCCAAGTCGGTATCGATGGACGGATCAGAGGATGGAGATTTTGCAGTCCCTTAAGGAAGCGTCCGATGAGCGCATGGGAAAACACGGACGAACCTGACAGCGGGCCACGGAAATGTGACATAGCTGCAATGTAGACCTTGATAGAGGTGGGTTTGAGTCCAGATTGATGCAGAGAAAGCAAAAAGGAAAGGATGTTATCGATGGAAGCCAATTCTGGAGTAAAACAGCTTCCACAAACGTAGTGAAATGTTTCCACTTTGCCTCATACGATCGACGAGTGGACAAAGGGCGGACTGAAAAATGAACTCGATTTCCTGTAGGGATGATGTAGGTTCAGAGGAGAGTCAAGTGAGGTCCCTCAGTACCGACTGACACTCAGGTGTCAAAATTGAGGTATTTCGCCGAAGTATGTGAGGGTCAGCAGAGGCAGTTAGTGCAGGAGCCACATGGTGAGCTTGAGAGTGTTGAGGTCAGGGTGAAGAATCGTCCCTCTCCCCTGTGTGATCAGGTGAGGGATTCATGGTAGATGGAAGAAGGTGTGTCTTGATAGCATGAGAGCAGTCGAGAACCAGGGTTGACTGGGCCACCATGGCGTAATGAGGATGACCCGTGCTCGGTCCTGGCCCGCCTTCTCCAGGGTACGGGTGATCAATGGAATCGGTGGAAAAGCGTACTGGAATGAATCTGACCAACTCACCATCAAGGCTTCCCCTACTGATTTCGGACCCATTCCTGCCCTGGAGCAGTAGGTCATGCATTTCGAATTTGAAGCTGTTGCAAACAGATCTAGTGTCGGGGTGCCCCACCGGGTGAACAAGTCTCTACAAACTTGGTTGTCCAGTTCCCACTCGTGGAATGACGACATCTTTCTGCTCAGGGTATCTGCTTCTTGGTTGTGTATTCCTGCCAGATGGATTGCTGTGAGCGAAATCCCTCTGGGGATACAACAGTCCCAAATCTGAATGGATAGCTGAGCCAGTGGTACCGATTTTGTACTGCCCTGTTTGTTCAGGTAAAAAACTGTAACTGTGTTGTCGGAGGCTACCTGTACCGATCGGTTCCGTAACGTGGGTTCAAATCATCGGAGTGCCTTGAAAACTCCCAGCAACTTGAGAAAATTGATGTGATCGGACCTCTCGTGTGCTTGCCAGGTGCCCTGTGTTCATAGGTTGGAATAGTGCGCTCCCCAACCCATGAGAGATGCGTTGGCATGGAGCGAGATGGAGGGTTATTGCTGGTGAAACAGAACGCCAATGG